TGTATGCGTTGTCATCACTGGTGGTGATCCTTGTGCACCTCGTTGAGGAGGTGGTGGCATGGGAAAAGGGTCAGAATCACTTGGAATATCGATGACAACCGGCACGGCGTGGTAGCAACGTCCTCCAAAGTTACGTGTTCTTACCATGGTGAAAAGGAGTGGAGTAACCGGATTGTGGAGGAGGCGACGAGTGTTGAACCGGCGGTGAGGTGTTGAACGACGGTCTCATGTTTATGTATGGTGGCCGATCGAAGGAAACAAAGAAATGAGGTAGAGAGGCATTGAATGCAAGAAGAAAGAAGAGGTTGGGGTGTTTGGGGGGCTTATCACATGGGAATATAAGAAAGAAAAAGAATTTTAGTTTTGGTCAAACTAAAAAAGGTGGAAAGAGGAAGTGTTGGGATTGGTTTAGAATTGGAAAGGTTGGGATAGTGATAGATAAGGTGGGGCTCATAATGAATAAAATTGAAATAAAAGAGGTTCAAACTTAAAATTTTCGGCAGTGGAGGGAACAAAAATATTTTGGGTTTTGCTAACGTGCGCCTCTTCATACTTCTAGACTTGAACATTGTTCTTTCTGTTAAATATTCGATCGGAGTTCAGATCTGATCAGAGAAAAAGAAAATAAAATTAATGAAAATAAAATAAATTTAATGGAAATAAAGTTTGTTGAAAATAAAAATAAAAACGTAATAAAATAAAACAAAACAAAACAAAAATAGATCGGAATGGGTTGCCTCCCATCAAGCGCTTTTGTTTAAAGTCACTAGCTCGACGACCTGATTTTTCAAAGTATGGGTTCCTCTAAATTGATTTCTTTGATTAGACCAACCGAAGCACTTTCATAATACGACTTCAATTGTTGACCATTAATTTTAAATCAAACTCCTGAGTTATCTTCGACTTCAATAACATCGTCAGGAAATACTTGTGTTACTGTAAACGGTCCGAGCCATTTTGATTTGAGCTTTCCTACAAAAAGTTTAGATTTGGAGTTAAATAATAAAACCTTTTGACCAACAGAAAAAGTTTTAAAAGAAATTATATTATCGTGAAATTCTTTTATTTTTTCTTTAAATATTCGAGCATTATCATAGGCATTTCTTCGGATTTCCTCAAGTTCTTGAATGTGTAATTTTCGAGCTTCACCAATTGCATCCATGCCCATGTTACATTGTTTAACAACCCAATAAGCCTGATGTTCTAACTCAACTGGCAATTGACATGGTTTACCAAAAACAAGCCGATATGGTGACATCCCAATGGGACCTTTATAAGCGGTTTGATATGCCCAAAGTGCATCGATTAATTTTAAACTCCAATCCTTTCGGTCCGGTTTAACAATTTTCTCAAGAATTGTTTTAATTTCCCAATTTGATACTTTGTCCTGTCCATTTGCTTGTGGATGGTAAGCGGTAGCAATTCTTTGAGTTACTCCAAATTTCTTCTTCAACGATTCGATCACTCGGTTTATGAAATGTGTTCCTCTGTCACTTATTATAGCTTGTGGCATGCCAAACCTGAAAAAATGGTATTTTTTAGAAAATTAACTATAGTTTTAGCATCATTATTCTGAGTGGCTTTATATTCCACCTATTTAGAAACATAGTCTATAGCTAGAATAATATAAGTATTTCCAAATGATGAAACAAAAGAACCTATATCGATTCCCCAAACATAAAAAATTTCACAAACTTGTATAAAATTAAGTGGTATTTCATTCCTACGGCTTAAATTTCCTGTACATTGACATCTTTCACAAGTTTTAAAAAATATATAAGAGTCCCGAAAGATATTAGGCCAATAGAAACCACATTAAAGAATTTTATGGGCTGTACATTTTGGCCCAAAATGACTACCGCAAGAGTAAGAATGACAAAATTGTAAAATTGAATTTACCTCACTTTTAGCAATACATCGTTGAATTACCTGATCCGAGCAGTGCTTCCATAAATAAGGATCGTCCCAAATATAGTATTGGGATTCTCGCTTAATTCGATTGATTTCAACTCTCGGCAAATCTAATGGTAACTTACATGTGGCCAAATAATTAACCATGTCCACAAATCATGGGGTTATGCTTTGCGCCACCATAAGTTTTTCTTCAGGAAATTATTCTCTAAATGGTGGTTCGGATGTGGAAAGGGGAATTCGACTCAAGTGATCCGCACCAGATTTTCGCATTCCTTTTTGTCTTTAATTTCCAAGTTAAACTCTTGTAAAAGAAGTATCCATCGGATAAGCCTCGGTTTTGCTTTCTTTTTGCTCATCAAATACCTTATAGCTGCATGAGCAGAAAAAAGTAATTTTAGTGCAAAGAAAATAAGATTTAAATTTTTCTAAAGCAAAAATTATAGCAAAAAGTTCTTTTTCCGTAGTTGAATATTTTTCTGAGCCGAGTCCAAAGTTTGGGACGCATAGGCTATGACATGTAGCTTTTTTCCTATTTTCTGAAAGAGAACGACTCCAATGGTAGTATCCGATGCATCACACATAAGTTTAAAGGGATAATTCCAATCTGGCGGCTGAACAATTAGAGCTGAAATAAGCTTTTCCTTCAACAAATCGAATAACTCCTTGCATTTTGAATTAAAGTCAAAGTCTTGATCCTTTTGAAGTATATTGCATAAAGGTTGTGCTATCTTCGAAAAGTATTTGATAAACCTGCGGTAAAATCCTGCATGGCCAAGAAAATAATGAATTTTCCTCACAATTGTGGGGTAAGGAAGTGAGTGTATAACATCTGTTTTAGCTTTATCAACCGCAATCCCTTTTGAGGAAACAATATGACCTAAAATTAATCCTTTATCAACCATAAAATGACATTTTTCATGGTTTAAAACAAGGTTATATTCTAAGCATCTTTTAAGCACATTTGTTAAATTATCAAGACATGTAAACCGTGAAGTCATCCATAAAGACTTCAATTACTTTCTCCGCATAGTCTGAAAATATACTTAACATGCATCTTTGGAAAGTGGTTGGTGTGTTACAAAGACCAAAGGGAATTCGTCTATATGCAAATGTACCGAAGGGACAAGTAAAATTTGTATTTTCTTGATCTTTGGGTGCTACTGGGATTTGGAAAAAACCTTGAAAAACTATCAAGGCAATAGTAATGAGTTTTCCCATCTAATCTCTCAATCATTTGATCTATAAAAGGAAGAGGAAAATGATCTTTTCGAGTAAGAGAGTTAAACTTACTGTAATCAATAGAAACTCACCATCCATTTTGAACTCATGTTGGCACTAACTCCCCTTCTTGATTTTCGACCACTGTGAGCACCGTTTTCTTGGGAACCACATGAATCATACTTACCCAATTACTATCCCATATCGGATTGATTACGTCAGCATCAAAGAGTTTCTGAATTTCTTTCTTTACAACTTCCATCATCGATGGATTTAATCGGCATTTTCCTTCTCGTGATGGCTTTGCTCCTTTTTTGACTTTGATATTGTGCATGCAAGTCGAGGGACTTAATCCTTTAATGTCGGCAATGGTACATCCTATGGCTTCTTTGTGAGAGTGCAACACTGCTACCAAAGCTTTCTCTTTTCCTTCAGACAATTTACTTGAGATGATTACTGGTAAGGTTCTATTTTTGCCCAAAAAGGCATATTTCAAATGTTCTGGTAATTTCTTCAATTCTACCTTAGGTGCCTGCAAAACAGGAGGTAAAATTTTAGTTTTAGAGGAAGATAAAGATAAATCAGAATTAATTGAATTAATATTTTCAAAATCCCTTTCTTTCTCTCCGTGAGAAAAGTTCAGGATCCTTGAAAATATCATAAGAAAAATTAGATTCAATATATTCATCAATTAAAGGATATATAACATCAACATAATTAATCCTTTCAACATGATCTGGGTATTTCATTGGTTTGTAAACATCAAATTCAATTATCTTACCATCAAATTACATTATTAGTATACCACTTCTAACATCGATCTTTGTATGTGCTGTGCCTAGGAAGGGTCAACCTAAGAGTACCTCGGAATAAGAATCTGACCTATCATGTTCCACGTCAATGACATAGAAATCTGCAGAAAAAAATAATACATCGACCTTTACCAAGACATTTTCCATTACTCCTACTGGATAGATCACAGATCAACCAACTGTATGGTTATTCTTGTTTCCTTCAAAGGCTCGTTAGTAATCATTTTATAAATAGAAAATGGCATAACATTGATTGAAGCTCTTAATTCACACATTGCATGTTTAATTTTAAAATCACCTATTTTGCAAAATCTAGCGAACATACCATGATCCTTCATTTTTGGTGGGAGCTTTTGTTGAAAAATTGTAGAGACATGTTCTCCCAAATTTACCTTTTCATGCCCCATTAATTTCCTCTTTGTAGTGCAAAGTTCTTTTAAAAATCGAGCATACCTTGGTACTTGTCGAATTACTTCAAGAAGAGGTATGTTGACTTGAACTTTTTGGAACACCTCTAAGATCTCCCTTTCTTCAACTCTTTTATCATGTTTCATCAACCTTGATGGGAAGGGTGGTGGCATGATTTCATGAGAAGAAAGAGAAGGATGTGAGTCATATGTATTTCTAAAGATGGTGTGTCCTATTGTTCTTTCTGATATGCGGCTTTTTCTGCTGGAACTTTAGGTGAGATAACTGTTCCACTTCGGAGTGTGATAGAACTAACATTCTCTCTCGGATTTAACTTCATTTGAGAAGGTAGTATTCCCTGTGATTCCAATTTTTCCACAGTTTGAGCTAGTATGCTTACTTGGTTATCTAACTCTTGAAGATGTATTTCGGTTTTGCTTTGGAATTTTTCCTGGGATGTAACGAAATTTATGAAATTTATAACTTTCCTATGAGTTACTCTAATGATGGTTTTTGTGTTTGCTGTTGAGGATGAGGTCTTGGTTGATAAGTTGATATTTGATTTGCCGCATAGCTGAAGTTTGGGTGGTCTCACCATCCTGGATTATAAGTATTTTTGTATGGGTTGTATTGTCTTTGTGGAGGACCTGGAAAGTTCCCTACTACATTGATTTTTACATTGCCTCCTTCTTGTATCAGCGGGCAACAATCCGTCGGATAGTATAACTTTGTGCATATCCCACATGCTCTTGTTGCTCCATATTTTCCTACAACAAGTGAATTAACTACTTCAATTAATTTTTCTAACTTATTCTCAAAGGAAAAAGTACTTATCTAGTGAACCTGTCGGCTGGGTTCACTTGAAAACTGTTGAGAGTTGGTTGCCATGGTTGAAATCAATTTCCTTGTTGTTGTTGGGGTCATGTTAACTAATGCTCCTCCAGTGGCAGCATCCACCATTTTCATCTCTATTGGTAAAAGGCCTTCATAAAAGTATTGAAGTAACGTTTGCTCACTTAATTCGTGTTTTGGACAACATACGCAAAGTTTTTAAAATCGTTCCCAATAGTTATAAAGACATTCTTCGATCTTTTATTGAATGGAAAGAATGCTCCTTTGTAACTCGCTTTGTTTAGCCGCTAGAAAGAACCTGTCAAGAAAAAATCGATTCATGTCAGCCCATGAATTAGCTAAATTTGGAGGTAAATAAAATACCAACCTTTAGCCAAGTCAGCTAAAGAGAAAGGGAAAACTCTCAATTTAATTTGATCATCGGTAACTCCCTGTGGTTTCAAGCTAGTGCAAACCATGTGGAATTCCAATAAGTCTTTGTGCGGATCTTCAGTGGGAAAGTCGTGGAAGATGGGAAGAAGATGAATGAGCCCCGTCTTTAATTGAAACGGAGTCCCGCCACTAGGAAAATTGATGCATAATGGCGTCTGAGTGACAGAAGCTGTGGCTAGTTCTCGGATTGTTTGTTCTTCTTCTGCCATCGGGATGTTGTATGCGTCTGCTTCAGTGTCTGTCTCCGGATTTGATTATGCTTCTAAACTCTGCTATTGTTTTCCTTGTCTTTTTCTAATTTCTCAAAGCTTTTGTGATTGGAATTTTCATGCTTGAGCTTATATCTCCGGATCTATATCTTTAAAACTAGAAAAATAAATCAGTACTTGTTGTTAATCCCCAACAACGGTGCCAATTTGATAATCTTCATTTTTCTATCAAAATAATTTTGGCTTCTTTAATAAATAGAAAGGAAAAGGTAGTATAGAGAAGCATGATCAATCCACAGGGACTATGGTTTTTTGTGATTTAGTAAAACTCTTTGATTTAGAGGAGGATATAATTCCAGATACAATTTGAAATAAAATAAAATAAATAATTATAATTTAAAAAGAAAAAATAATAAAATAAGTAATAATAAATAAAAGGGGGAAATAATAAAATAATAAATAATAGTAGTAAAGATAAACAAGAGTTTTTTAAAAGTTGTTTTTAAAATTAAAAAGAATTAAATAAAAGAAAATAATTTAATAAATAATCTAAAGAGATTGAGATAAAGAGAAACTTATAGTGAAAGCGACCTCAGACTTCAGCTTTGCCTCAAATTCCTCGGATCATCGTAACAAATTTTTACTTCAAGATTCACGTCAGCTTACAAGGACAATTCTTCCCTGCCAACTTGGATTGTGTCGTTTCAACAATAATTGATTTCGATCTCAGTTTCCTCTTAGCAAATAATTTTGCTAAGTGTTTTCTCAGGAAGTCGAATGTGCTTCAATAAGACAATCATTCTTCAAACGTTAACCATAACAACATCCAGACCAATGTCAAAATTATTTTGATTTGAAAAGTAAGCTTAGAAAACAGAGAGAGAAATCTGAAGCGATTTAAGTACCTTACAATTCTCACGTTTTGGAATTGAGCCTTCGCTTTAGCCTTCGGCTTGAAAGAAAATTAGCTAAGCATGACCAAAGTCATACTTAACATTTGTTGAAAACGAAATTTAAAAGAAAATAAAGGAAGTATGCGAAAAATAGAGAGAAAGCTATAGAGAAAAGAAGATTTTATTCTCTGATGAGAGATATATTTCTCTAGGCTCACCCAAAGAGGGTATTTATAGCCTTCAAATTCCTAAACATAATCTAAAGATAACTCCTAAAATAATATCTTTTATCCTAATCAAAAAATTTAAAACAAAACACTAACATCTATTTAAAAAGATAAACTAAAATACTATTTAAAATAATATCCTGAATCCTAATTGAAATACTAACATCTATTTAAACTAAAATACAAAGATAAAATATAATGTCTAAAACATTATCCTAAACTTGAGTTCAATCTTCTAGAAGGTGTTGAAGTCATCGCCTCGTCAGATGTTTCATGCCCAAATTCATGCCCACTAGTCCAGCTTCGATCCCGAAAATAAAAAAACTGCAAAATTCTTTCCTTTAGTGCAATTTCCAGAATCTAACATCCTGAACAAAAAATGAATCAAAACGAACAAATAAGCCACAAAAACCAATGATTAAGGAGTAATTTAAAAGTAAAATATTAACTAAATTAAGCACTTATCACACTTCAGGGGCATTTTAAATAGATTAGGATTCTAATCGATGATTCCAAGGTTCAAGTGGATCAAAATATGAGTTCTAAGGTCGTCTCCATTATCATAGCCATCTATAGTTCTTTTCACACTTTAAGTGTATTATCGTCATTTCATTTAATTCTATCAGTGGTATTACTTCTGATAAATTAAGCTTCAAGTATTTATTCAAGAATCAGAGTTTATAAGCCTTATGCTTTTTATGAGGTTTAAAATTGATTATAAGATATTTTCCAAATAAATTAGTGTTAACAGGTGCATCGTAAATTTTATCGGGTAAAAAAACAAATTTTTGAGGTAATTCCACTATCAAGATCAATAAATACCATTTTTTACAGCTTAAGGGTATTTTCATGATTTCTTAATTAAGCATTCCCCACATTTAACCTTTAAATAAATTAATCCAAATTTAGGATTCTGAGATCAATTTATTTCTACATAATCCATGAACTTAAAATTATTTTCGATCGATCTACCAATTTCTTTTGCGAGCAAACTAAGTCTTTTATAGTTTTCGGTTTTTATTCCATATTCAGTTTAAGTCTAATGATAATTAAATACACCTAATTGACCAATCATTTCCATTCATGCATTTGCCAATTATCAATGTGTTTCGAAAAGGATACAAAAGGTAGTAAAGTGTTACCTCGATTTATGAGCCATATCGATTAACCATTTAAACTCCATTCGATCACTCTCAAACTTTAATTCCATGTCCCATAATGTCTCGGACACATAGCAAACGAATTTATGTTAGAAACTGAACTTAATAAAAAAACTAAATTTGATTATGAAGGTAAACACTAAAAAATGGCTTACCGAGTGCAAATTTGGCAAAACAGACTTCGGATTCAGACTCGGGACATCAAAAAACATAAAATATGACTTTTTAAAAAATTTGACTTTTTTTTGTTAAAGTCAACGGTTAGACCGGTCGAAGTTAACGACCAGACCAATCATTGGTCAACGGGTTGGGTCAAATTCAACGGGTTGGGTCGAAGTCAACGGGTCAGGTCAAAGTTAACGGGTCGGGTAGGGTTAGCTCCGTTTGGGTCAAACAGACCCGGTTCAGACCTGGTAGGCCGATTTGTGTCGAATTAGATTGGTTCTAGAAGGTTTCCAGGGCAGGGGAAGAAGCCCACGCACATACAGAGGAGTGTGACGGTGGCGACAGGCTTGGGGTGATTGATCGATTACTCCACGATCATTCAAACCTTAACATCAAGCCATAAGAACACCTAATTTCAGCTAAAACTATCAGAAACAAAAGAAAAAGGGTCAAAATACTTACCCACATCGGTGATGAGGAAAACGACGGTGACAACTAGATCCATCGGTTGGGTCTTGATCGAAGTGGTGCGGGGAACACCGTTGCGCTAGTGATGAGGCAAAACAACGGCTGGACCGACTGGAATCGAAGCAAAAGTGAAAGAAAAATTGGGTTTTCTGATTGGCTTTTCGAATGGTACTATACAACGAACGACACGAGGTTTCAATGATTAGGACCCTGAGCTACAATCGGACTGAGACGACGCTTCCAATGGTATCGGTGGTGCACCAAAATGTCGGCAGAGGTAGAGTAAATTGGTGAAGGGGAGTGGCGACTAGTGTGGAGAATTGAGGGCTTTTGGGTTTAGAGATTTGAATTTAATTAGGCTTTTTATTTTTCATTGACCAAAAAAAATAGAATAATTCCAAGTTTATTCCTTGAATTCCCTAAAAGTTCAAATCTAGGCTGTAAGGTTTCAAAACTTTCAATTTGGTCCTAATTTCATTAAATTTAGGGTGTTACACTTAGGGATTTATTTAAGGCCCATCTCGGGTCAGCCTGAAGCCTCTAACTTTGGATTTGGGCATTACATGAATAGTTTCAAAATAATTCTTGTAGTATCGACACCAAAAAGAATAGGAGTACAATACTCTCATAGCAGTACCGATATTGCATATTGGTTTCAAGTGCGTTCAGATTCCAGTAAGCAAAATTAGTATTGATACTCAAAGGAGAATCAATATTGTTACATAGTAGTATCAATAACATAACCCTAGTATCAATACTCTCCTAGCTCAAAGGTAATTAATGGCTACTTTTATTTAAAATTTATTAAGGCAGTACTGATACTCCCTGCTGAGTACTGATACTCCCTATTCTAGGTAGTTTTATTTTGTAGAAAATTAGTCCCCAAAGTTTCTAAAACATCTCCAACGGTTAAAAACGTCTACACACTCATTCCAAAATATAAAAACAAGTTGAGAACACTTGAGGAAGGTTATAACACCTATCCAAGCAACCCACATCAAGATAAAAACTCTTTCGATCTTATTTTTCATTTTCTCTTGTACATAGCGTGTTTTAGTGAGCTTAATTGTGTAAACACTCACCTTGTGAGGGTTTCTTGTTTATAATTTTTTATTCTTTATTAAAAGGGGTTTGATTTTGGTTTAGCCATTGAAAACTAGGGATTTGTAAAAGGTTGTTCTTGAGTCTAGAAAAAGAATGAATAAATTAGTGAAGTTGTAGAAATCTTTACTGTTAAGGTAAGGTATTGGATATATACTTGGTTGAGAAGTCGAACCACTCTAAATACTTGTACAATTTTTCCTATCCATTCTCTCCATTCCCTAAAATTTTTAATTGACCAATTCACCCTCTCTTGGCAACTTATTTGGTTAATTGATAAAGCAACGAAAATCTCAACATTTTTAAAAATGGTACTTAGTTATACTAGTTTTAAATCACTTTCGTGATGAATTTTCGTTTAAGCAGTTTAGGCAGTTTTATTTAGGGTAAACTACACATTTAGTACCTAAACTATCACTTTTATTCCGTTTTAATTCCTAAACTTTCAATTTTTCAAAATCGTACCTAAAGTTTATTTTTTTTTTCATTTTAGTACCTTGCCGTTAAAAATTTTGGTACTAAAATGAAACAAAAAGTTAACAAGGGTACTAAAATGAAACAAAAAAGTTAACGACATGTACTAAAATTAAAGAAAAAGTAAACGTGAGGTATGATTTTGAAAAAATTGAAAGTTTAGGTACTAAAATAGAACTAAAGTGATAGTTTAGGTCTAAACATATAGTTTACCCTTTTATTTATTACATGATATTAAATTGAACTTGTATATTGCTTATTGGAAATGGGTTTGATTTGAATGTTAGAATATTTTATTTTGATTTTAGGATATTAAATTGTTTAAGTGTTATTGATGTTAAAAATGAATGTTTTTAAAGGAATTTTTTTTACTGATTTTGGTAAGAAATGTTTTATAATGTTAATGTGACATCTCTGACTTGTATTAGATGACATATATGAGAAGGTGTGTTACATGATGTGTGTGAATCACCCATGTGCATAACAATTATTGTTCTGTCTACACTCATTTTGCAATTGAAGCCTAACATATACAATAACAAATTTAACTCAACATTATATTCAAATTTTTAAGCATTTCTATTGTAAAGATGAAGAATGCATAAAATAAACAAAAACGTTGCATCTCTTCCAAAATAATCTCAACAATTCACTCACTTTCCCCAAATCTCCACTAAACTTGAATCTCTAAAAGCAACAGTAGTCACTCTCTAAAATAAATCAAACAAACAAAGCAAATTATAAAAAATTACCCCAATTTATAACCGTTTTAAAAATAATAACACCCAAGAACCTCAAACCCCTGTTCAAAATTGAATAACAAAGAACATTTCCCCCAAAAATTGAATGCAATATTATAATTTAGATAAGAGTACTTACCTCAAATCAGATGCAGATACGAAGAAGATTAAACCCTTTTTTCAGATTTCAGAATTTCCTCAAAATCAATTAACAACCAAACCTTGCAATCGCGTATAAGCCCTAACCCTAATAAAAGTCAAAGTCGAAGTGGGTATTCGCGTAGAAACATCAGTTCACACACTTCTCTCTGATGTACATCATTGTTTTCTGATGAACAAAGGTTCAAAACAAAACAGGTTTAATCCACGTGGGAATGAGGCAGTTTAAAATCAAATAGGGTTTCTTCTGACCGTTTAATCCACGTGGAAAATAGGTGCAAAATGGGTAAAAAAAATTCAGAAAAAAATTGTTTAAAATTATTTTTTTATTCACCACGTGTTCGATTTTTATGGGTCAGAGGGTTCCACGTCATCTTCTGTGATGAAAATGGGTATACCCTTTAACGGAAGAAAACATTATAAGTTAATCGAGAATTTTTAAACTTTATATATGAAACTGAGAATCGGGTATAGTTCATGTATGAATATGGTAATAAACCATAAAGCTTTTGGGAAGACTACATTCTGGTTGATATTTGAAGTGTCTAGATGAGTGTATATTTATGGTGTATTTATGTTAGATGTAAACATTGGTTTGCGATGAAATAATGAATGCATTACTATTGTAAGAAGTGACTCTTGAATATTATATGACTATGTAATTCATGCATTTATGTTAAATTTGTATTTAGAAGACTAATAGAATTAATGGATAAGCTAAAGATGCAAAATACTGAAACTTTCCTAGATTTTCTGATCATGAAAATAGATTCAGAAAATCACCATAAATTCTGTAAATATGATTAAAATGTGATTCTTATATCGTTGTATTCGTATGTCACTAATAGAAAAAAACCCCTTTAATTACACACATTTGCCTATCGTTGAAGCCACCGACATGAATTTAAGATGATGCGCAACTGTGCGTCATAATTTTATGACGTCCATTTATGACACACATTTATGACACACATTTATGACGCGCATTTATGACGTTCATTGAGCGTCATTGAAGCCCCCGTCATAAATTAAGATGACACATATTTGTGTGTCATAAATATATGATACGAATGTATAACTTACATTGCGTGTCATTGAAGCACACGTCATAAAAAAATTTGATACACATTCGTGTTTCGTGATTGTATTTCGTAAATTATATATATATATATATATTGTAGATTGACAAATAATCAAACTAAATCACATTTAATGCCTCATAATACTAAATATATATATATATCATATTATATATAAGCAATCCATTTGCATACAATATATTCACATTAAGTTATCAAAAATATTGTAATCATATGTTGATACAAAATATCACGGCATAATAAAGTTCTACTAATATGCCCTCGCCATCCGGGCGTGTACACAAGAAATAATTGAAAATAATTGAAACAATTAAAACTAGTTGCATTATATAGAACAAACACATTCCTAATATGCACATTAAACTTCTGAAAACACCTTCCTTGGTCCAGTATATTTATGCACAAACATGAACTCATGTTTCAACAAACCAAGTGGCAGCTTACTTTTTGAAACTCTATCAGATTTTTCAGCAACTTTGTATTCTCAATTCCAATGGAGTTGAGGCTTCCTGATTCTAGTTGTGTTTCATCAACCATCAAGTTTGAGTTCGTAGGTAGCTGAAGAACTCCAGGAATCAATCTGTAATACAACATGAAGTTATTTAAAAAAGAAAAACTTCAAGGTTCCAAGTTGCTTTCTTAATTCTTGCAGACATTAACTTCCCCTAGTTGCAGGGATACGATTAAGGTTACCTGTTTATTTGATAATCCTTTTTTGGGGCAAGAGAGGCAGTGTTTAGATATTCCAGTGGAGAATCATATATATGCAATAAAAAAATGAAAAATAATCATCCTTGGTTGAAAAGATAAGAACAAAGGAATTAAGAATCATATACCCCAAGAAGCAATAATCTGATACAAATACACCATGTATATGCAAGAATAATCACCTAGAAATAAGACACACAGATCTAGTAAATGTCTTTTTAAAAATAAGCAGCAGATTCTGAAATCATTCAAAAGAATTGCAAATTTTTCATATACAAATATAAGAATTGATCTCAGGTCCCACATCCATCCAATTTCTCAGTACTAATGTCGTTTTACAAATAAATCCAAATAAAATTGCTACATGAAGCATAAATTTTCACTTCTAGAATGTCATACAAAAAGAAATGAGCAAACTAGTTTACTAAAAACACATTGACCAACCGATGACCTGCACAATCAGACATGGTTCTATTGTTCATAACTAAGAACAACTAAATTAAACTTGCTTCTTTATATAGTGAGATTCACATATGGCAAATAAAGCAAAAGAAAATCTAGACTTCAACACTTCACTGCATGGCCTATCTTCAAAAGACCAGCACTAATTGTCACTATAAAGAACAAAATTAACTGTAGCAAACTCATAATAGCATTTGTTTCATCATTTTGCTTTAGGTAAAAATAAAGGAAGACGAAAATGTTAACAATCAAAATTTGAGCTAGTTAAACAAAAGTAGATAAGAAAAGGAATAAACTGCTGCTTCGACAGGAAGCTTGTTTATTCATCACCCATATAAATTTCATAAATTTATTTGACCATATTCATGAAAATTTTAAGGTCATCCCTCCATACTCCAGACAAACTCACTTAACACGTGATAAGCAAACCAAAGTTCTTACTATGACTAAGAATACTAGATTTTCAAGTGAACAATCCTATTCCAGTTTTAAAAGCATAAGCTAATATTACATAGGATAAAATTGAGGAACATTGACAGAATGCCAAACTAGTCAACTTAATATTCTTTCTTATCTCATTCGCTACCTATTGCAATAATTACATCTCACACTTTATACACATTAACATGTAGCTCAAGCACAGACAACTGTGTATGAAATTACCATGCACATGCCATTGTCACTAGCTATTACCAGTTAAAATTGAAGACAAAATATGATTATCATATGAAACTAAAAGAAATGGTGACAAACACAATCTCATGATATAAATTTGTAACTTCAAACGAATAACACCAACACATACCAGAAGGAATTTTGATGATTTCTTCATAACAACTAATGTACTACCATAACAACTAATGTACTTCCAAGACAACCTGATCGGTGTCAAGAGAAAATGTAATTGTATCTTAGCCCAGAAAGCATTTTAAGAGAAAAAAAACAAAGTTAAAGTGCCAAGTAAAAAATTTCCGAGCACAACCAAATATGTTTCAGAATGGATGTTTCAACAGTATGTAAAATGTTCTGAGTTGGAATATACTATTAGACTATAGACAAATAATTATGTTGTTTAAGCTCTCCAAAATGCATAAATACATGAGTGAGGTATTTGAGATCTTAGTTGGCGTTTACTCTCCAGCAAGAAATAAACCACCTAAAATGATGCCCTAGGACTACATTTTGGTCAGCTCCCAACAATCTATAAACTAAGACCAGTGAAAGTAGTAACAGACTTTGTGTGATGATCTAAGTGATGTCAAGGAACAAGAATCCAAAAATGGATCTCAGGTAGGTCAAGGAATTAGTGTGCCTTCTCCATATTTTCTGCAGCCTCTGCCATGAGGTCATTAATGTTTCTACCTTGAAATATGTCTGAATTTGAGGGCTGGGAAAAAGTCATGAGGAATGAAATGAAAAAATGCCCTGAGGAAAATGATGGATGAAGGATGATCCATGACATTGTGGATTAGAGTGACTCTTCTTGAAAGAAAGAAGAGGAAGCTCATCACATGCATGAAACAGAACTCTGAGGAGCTCCTCCATTAGATCCCAAGAAATCCTGCGCCAAAGAAAATGTTGAGTATGGGGGCTTATTTTTTTAAATAGTTTTCCTTAAACATCCTGGACCCCCAGTAAAACTCAACGAAGGATGATTGATGCTGCTGAGTCGTGTACTATGAGGTCATACTGCTGTGCAGCCATCATGATAGGGACCGACACCTTAATGCTCTGGAAGTATGATACTTTTATTTCATTACAACAGGAACTTTATCTCACCGCGAAATGTGCATATATATTGCTCTATATTCTAATTTTTTACAAGCATTTACAATTAATGCATGTTATCCTTCTGTTAAGCATTCAAATTAAACTAGTTTTTTAATAGAGTACCAAGATTATACTTGCAAAATTCAAGTTCAGCACAAAAAAATAGCTTGGTTTCGTTTACACATTGAAACTAAAAACCATGTGAAATAGATTTTAACTGTGATATAATTAATAAGAAAACAACCTTTTAAGGTCAAAATACTTTCGAGTTCTGACACCTTTATAACCAACACATCCAGCTAAATAGCACCAATAGCATGAGAAAAATAGTTTAGAAAAAGGAGCAGGAAATGATGCTCACGATTCTCACATAGAACCAATTACCAATAACGAGAAACAATACTCATCGGATTTTATATCTACTCTTTCAACTCTCCCAAATTTTCTGAAGAGACGTTCCAAATCAGACTAGCGTGCATCATACTCAAAGTTTCCATAGAAAATGGGTCTCATGTTGCCTGAGCAGAAGAGATGACAATATCACATCAGTATTTCACACACAAAACACATACATGTGTACAAGCACAAACAAACTTATGAAAGAACAAGTCAAAACTAAAGCGTTAACTATCAAGTAGTAATGCACTCCTAACATGAACAAAACAGAATGAGCAAGGCAACAACATCAACAAATATTTGAAAGCTATTTAGTAAACTAATAGAGAGCACACACAAGATAACTGACAAGACAAGGGGATCTTCCCAGCTGTTTGAAATATAGAATTGAGGTCATTCCATAAACACTCTCCAGAAGAAGAGACTTTCTCTAAATGAATTACATCTCTCATTATTTATATTTTGATCCATCACACAATAAAAAGAAAATTATCAACCGCAGCCTAGTGCACGATGTTTTCGAGGTCTTCGAAAGAAGGGAAGCTAAAATCAAAATTACAGCTGCTGGATCTACATCAAGAAAAAATGAAACCAAACAGTAACCAAATCATAATAAAATTATACAAATCATAGATATGTGCTAAAACCTCTTCTTAGATGCTAAGACAGCAAATACGGTGAGATAAATGATTGGAACTGAACAAATTAAATTAAAGAAATCATAAATACTAATTTTCCCATCATTTTCATGGAAAATAAATCAGGCGGCTTGGGAAATTAAAATTAAATAGAATTTGAACATATAAACGATGGTCAGAGTACGAAATTACCTTCTGCAACAATGATTCCAGAAAGAAAGAAAAAATCAGGGAAAGTTAGAAACCCTAGTGAAGGAAACTTGCGATATTTTTCACGAAATGAGCTCGTGAGTCAATAAGTATAAAAATATATATGGATGAAAAGTATAAAAATATGGATTGATTAAATCCATTGCTCGAAACTAGATAAGCAAAAGTACCAGCTTGTAAGCATCAGGAAGTGAAAGCCACTACTTGAAAAGCTTTTGCGTGAATTCGGGATTGGATTTGAGAACAAAATGAGACATCTCCAGGAGCTGCAATAGCTCCGGATCCAAACACGCTACGTCTCCAACAACAACTGACTCCATCTTCTTTTCTTCGCATAACTAAACGCATCTTAAACAAAGTCTCCGCGCAGATCAATTGTAATGAGCTTTAAAAGAATACAACCAACATATATGAGCTCATAAACTTACTTATAGTAAGTAATTGAAAATGTGAACAAGGTAATTCGATTTTTAGCTGGGAAATAATTAGAAACCCTAGATCTCCATGGAAACAGGGAAACCGAGCTTGGCGAGTTTTCTTTCTTTTTCATTTTTCCCCGTTAGAAAGCGAGTGATTTGGGATAAAATAAAGTGGTTTACAATTGAATGGTGGAATAGAGAACGAGGAATACCTGTGGAAACCCTTGAATTTTACTCCCTCGTCTCTGCGTTATGGTGAAGGCCAAACCAGTGGGAGGTTGCAAAGAGAAAAGGGGGAAAAGAGAAAAATGGAAAAGCATGCGGCGTGAACTATCGAGGGAGAAGAAGCAGGAAAGATGAAAATAATGGGGAAAATTAAAATATGACTTTTATAGATGACACACAATTAAAAATGTACTCCATGTTTTTGCAAATTTTTTGGATTATGATTATTAAATATGACACACATTATTGTAAGTCATAAATCGTTCATATTTTAAAAAAACATGACATTTTTTTATGACACACATTTTTTGCAAGTCATAAATTAGCGTGTGTCATCGTTCGTGTGTCATTAAAGGTATATTTTCTTGTAGTGTGTCAATCTATTTTCATTTTAAACAGACAGAGAATGATTTTGAAGTGTATACTAGAAAATATCAATTTTTTATCAATGATAGGTAGAAACCAGGGCAAAACAATCTGTAAGTTGGATTAGAAATTGACCATAAATTGTACAAGCTAAACTAGAAAGATTGCTTTATATGATTAGGTTCGTATTCAAGTCTAGTTTATAGTGGAATAACCATAATAGAATTTCAAGTGTGTATATTAGTACAAAATAATCATTCTTCAAAGGTAGTATAAGCTACTAGAATAGAAATATGAGGGATAAATAATGTATTTTATGTTATCTTTATGTTATATGTCCCTATAGAGGCTTAAGAGAAGGCAACTCTATTTTATTGGCATGGTAGTTATGGTTTTTATAATATTATGGACATGTTATTTACGTGTCAAAAGGTAAGTGATCAATGATATTTTTATGATATATTCATGTTTTGTAGAAATAAAATATTTAGGGTATGAACTACTCATTGTGCTATATGAAATGTTCAATATATTGTTATCTTTGATGATTGAAGAACAAGTTATAATTAATTAAAATGCCCATTGTATGTACATTAAGAGTCCTTGGTATAGTTGGCATGCCATAAAGGTGAAGAATAAACAGCTGCATTGAGTATATAGTAGAGTGTTTATGGTACTACAGTACTCCAAGGAATACAGTACATAGTAAAGTGATAAGGGTACTATGGTATTCTTGATTATTCGTACACTCATACAATGTTGATGGTATCTATGCAAGTGACTGCCACTAAAAATGCATTCTTGGTGGCTCACATACCTTGCATTCTCATTTATATACCTTGGTATATGACATAAATAAATTAATTTTGAAAAGTGCATGTTGTGAAAGATAAGTGAGAAGGTTAAATTTTCTATTCATTATAAGTGATTTAACATAAAATGATTTATATTTGACTTTGATGATTTCATGTATCTTTGAATTGGAAATTACTTCGGTATAAGATCATTTTATATGCTCATATAATATCATATGAATCTTTTGTATTTCCATTATATGATTTATTTTATATCATCGATATGTTTTACTTTGATTTATTGATTATGCCTCACTAAGTATATACTTTGCGTATGATGGTTTTCACGTAGGTAAAAAACAAAGATCAGAGTAGGGAGTGATGAGCATCTTATCTATTGAGAAGCACACCTACAGTATCAATTGTGGCATCTATTTGATTTACTAGTTAGCATACATATGTTATTAGTATTTGGTATAAACTTTAATAAAAAACAAAAACAATTTAATCTAAAAATAATATAAAATAACTAACTAATTTAAACAACAACAATAAAAAAAATAATCTATACTAATATATGAATAAAATAATCAGAAAATAATCTACAATTTTTTTTTCTATTTATGAATAAAATAATCTAAACAAAAATAATAATCAAAACCAAAGATCAATAATTTGCTTTTAAACTAAACTTTAGTCAAGCTAAACAACATAAATTAATTTTAAAAACAATTTAATAAATTCAAAAAAAAATCATCTACCTACCTACCTACCTATCTATCTATCTATCTATCTATCTATCTATCTATATTAATTTATGAATAAAATAATCTAAAAAAATACCTTCGAATTCTTCCTTCTTTTGTTCTTCCTTCTCTTATGTATTCTCCTCTCCTTTGTCTTCTCTTATTAAACTTTTCTGTTGTTCACCCTCCACCCGTAGCACTTCTGTATAGCTCAAATCTTATCATCCCTTACTACATTATTGGATGTCATTATTGATGCCCCATCGTCCCATGCATTAACTCTCAGCAGAGTTATTATTGCATGCCCCATGCATTAACTCTCACCCTAAATTCACTTTTAAACTCTAATCCCTAATATCTATTTATAGAGAATTTTTTAAAAAAAAGAAGAAACTTACATAAGAAATATAGTACTAAGTTTCATTCTCTTCATCAACGTAGAAAGAATAAATAGAGTTTTATACGAATTAACTTCTATGTATTACCTAAACATATCTCCATTTTAATCTTTATTTTAAATTTCTTTCAAACCATCTCATGCTGGACAAAAGAAAAAAAATGGATGATACAAATTTGGAAAAAAACTTAAATCAAAATAAGTTTATGAACCCAAATGATATTTATATATAATAGTAGGGTTGAGCAAAGAAATCAAGAAATAAAAAAAAAAATTGACCCAAACTGCATTATGTGTTTCAGTTCGATTTAGATTTTTTATTTTTGTAGTTAAGTATCAGTTTCAGTTTAGACATCAAATTTTATAATTTAGTTCTATTTTGGTTTTTTTTTCATATGAAACTCATTTGTTCCAAATCAAACTGAATTAAAAATACAATGGCCCAAATTAAATGCATTT